CTGAGGAGAACACTGACTGAAAGGAAGCAAATACCCAGTAACTACCTTAGCCTGAAGGGCATGTGAACATGTCTCCCTGCACTAGCCGCTTTCCTGCTAGCTTCACCAATAGCAGCAGCAGCTTCAGCAGCAGCAGCTGCAGCAGAAGGACTTCGTGTGAGCTTGGTATTCTGTACTGGCGACAGGCCACTCTGATGTGCTGGAGGTTTAACACTGCCAGGTTTGAAGTGAGCTGCTAAAGCCAGAACAAGGCGCATTGTGGCTTTTAGATTTCCATCCACAATTTCTGGAAAGAAAACAACAACTTAATTACAACAGTTACAAGGACAAAAAAAATTAATGTCTCTGGCTAACCTACAATGATAGGGTAAGGTAAAATCTGCATCAGGCTAGTAGTTCATACAGCTGGAGCTTATCCTGATTTCTGTAACATGAAGCAACTAGGAGTATTTCTACTCCCTCTCTCTCTCTTGATGGGATGCTAAGTCCATCACAGGGTTACTCCCCAGCTTCAGATTTGCTGCTACCCATTTATACGCCTGGGTGGAGAGAGTCACTGTGGAAGTTAAGTGTCTTGCCCAAGAACACAACACAATGACACCAGCTAGAGCTCGGCCAAACTCGGTCTAAAATCCAGCATGCTAACCATTATACCACCATTCCTCCACCACCAACAATATTATCACTTAATTTCTAAATTGTGCGTTTTCACTTAAACTTAAATAGGTTTAGTTCAGCACACAATGAAAGTCATGTCTGTTAGCCTGGAGCTTGTGGTTGAGCTAGTGGATGCTATCCTTCACTTGGCTATGGGGCAGGTGGGGTAAAATGTGAGAAAATTCAAGTAATGTGAGAGATCAAAATAATAATTGTTTTAATTTCAATTATTGAATTAATTTAATAATCAGTTGTGTTAGTGAGAGTTTTTTTTCCAGGCTAGTGACAATGACTATGGGACTGGTACATCCTGGTCACAGCTTGCCCCAAGGACAAGCTGGAAAAAATGTTCTTTGCACCCCGTAGTTAACTGAGTGAATGACATGACAGACTGACTGACCAGATAACCAACAGGCACTTATTTACAACCTAACTGACTGTCTGACCAACACACTGATGAAGCAACCAAGACTCTACTGACTGACGTATTGATTAATTGACTGACTGATGTCTCCCTACTGACTGAC